AAGTACATATTACACAGGTTCAAATTTCCCTTTTTAAGGTCAACCATTCAGTTAATTCGAGCTCAAAAGCCAAAAACTTATATGCTACATTATAAGTGTAGTTGGCATCCATAAGCAAGAAATCAATATATAGAAGGAAAAGGTATATATTTGAATAAACTTAAGTTCCTTAGTCCTAAGAGAAGTCGATATAATTATAATATTATCTGTATACTAAAGTCAGGGTAGTAGTTCTGTACCAAGCTCTGTTTCTCTCTATTTAATATTTGGAAAATGAGCAAACATTTTCTACTCGGCATTATTCTGAATATATCCGCAGTTGAAATACTTTTTAAACAAGATGGGCTCTCACATAACTCATTATCATAGTTTCAAGTCAAACTGCCACATTGTACATATTTGTACAATGCTACGAATAAATAGATAAATACAGATAGCGCTTACATAAGTATACTTTTTCAAATCATATATAAAATTTCCTTAATTTCATAAAACTTTTACATGAATATACAAGGAGCGTTCCAAAGTAAACAGGATTTTTAAAAAAAAGATAGAACAAATGGTTTTATTGACAAAACAAATTAATTTAATTCAAAATAGTCTCCTTCTGCTTTATTACAGCTTTTTGCACGGTCCAAAAGCATGTCGAACCAGTCTTTTAGCTCGTTGCCCAGTATGGCCGGCAGTATGCCGGTGCAAGCCTTTTGAATGGCCTCCACGTCTGCATAACGCATTCCTTTCATCGGCAAATGCATTTTCGGTGTCATATCAGGTGAATACGGGAGGTGGTGCCGAACACATCGAATACGGCGCACCAAACGTTTGAAAACTCCAAGGTAGAATACCGCATTAACGTTTTGGTCGGGTGGAACAAGTTCTTTGTGGACAATACCCTTGGAATCATAAAAACAAATCAGCATTGTCTTCACTTTTGACTTCTCCAGGCGCGATTTTTTGGGTTTCGCCTCATTTCTCATTTAAGTCCTCACGACCACTTTGAAAACGTTGAAACCACTCGTGCACTCTGCTACGGGATAGGCAATCATCGCCATAAACTTGTTTCATCAATTGAAACGTTTCGGTAAAAGTTTTACCAATTTTAAAATAAAATTTAATGTTGGCTCTGTGTTCGATGCTCATTTTCGCACCGATGACAAAAACATACTGACACTTAAAACGCAATAACTTCACTTTCAATAGATGAAATGTCATGAATTTTTTACTGGAAGTCGATAAAGGATAGCAGATTCTAACGCATTAGTCGACATATAGATGGCGCTAATAGAGTTTACTTTGTTACTTTTTACTGTTTACTTTGGAACGCACCTTGTATATTCTACCCTTGGAATGTAGACACTTTTATCGCTATTACATATAGATCTATTGTATTCGTAAAATTTGAATTGCATCGAAAAAATATTAACCCACACCACTCTTTCTTACTGTTTGTTGTATAGAATGAAGCATTTTATTATACGAGGACTTATGGCTTCGTTATCTATATTTCATCAGCCACGTTCCAATAAACAAACAGAAAAAGTTAAACATTAATCATTGCTTATTACTTCCGGTTAGGATAGTCGATAATATAATATTTTTTTTTCTATGCGATTAACAGCATCGAAGTTATGCACAAAACGTGCCCATACTTTGTATACCAAATTCCCGTCGTTTACTGAATAGCTCATATCTGCGTCGTACAGTTAACACACTTGATTTTTAGGTTAGAAAAAAGCCAAGTAAAGATAAATATCTAATACGAAAAAAACAGACGATTTTTATTTGACTTATTTTACATTTCATAACTTCACGGCCACGCACTTTGTTTTGTGTTTAATTTAGAACTTGTCTACACTTTTTCAAGAAGTAAGCTTTATTATAAAGATATATATCAAGTAATCTATATAATATATATAGGTGCGCCATTATGCTTTAAAAATAAAAACTGGAGCTGTATGTTAGCAATAACGTACCGAATATTCCTTTCCAAGGCGGCAATTGTCTAGGGCTTATCTGCGTATTCAAGCGACTTCAATCGCACGATCTTGGAGAGTACGTCACAGGCCAAAAGTTTTTTGCAATAAATTGATTGTTTCGTTGGCTGTACGGCATTTAGCGCCGTGTTGTGGGAACCAATGGGTATCCACATCAAAATTCTCCAAATTAGGCATGAAAAAGTTATTAATCATGGCTTTAAAGCATTCCCCATTGGCTTTAACATTATGGCCTGCTTAATTATTGAAGAAACGTGAACCAATGATTCCTTCTGCCTAAAGAGTACACAGCTGTGACAGATGTAACGGCGTGGTGAATTATCACTACTTCAAATGCCAAAATTTTGTTTGTTAACCTATCGATTAAACCGAAAGTGAGATTCATCGCTGAACTAAATTTTCGTGTGAAAATCGGGATCAAACGTTGTTCCGGAGTTAGTCTGTTTATTATAAAATGGCAAATTAAACTAAGCATTACATTTTTTTTTGATTTGTTAATTTTAAAGGGGTTACAGCTGCTTAAATTGCTTTACATCGTTAGATTTAGTGGTTTGTGTATTCTAAGAAAAGGTAGAGTATTAAATTTCTTGCTATGAATGATAATTTTTTATCAAAATTTTTTTGTAATGTATTTAAGAACGATTCAAAACTCACTCTATATTAAGGAATATGTGTAGAACAAAATTTTTTCCACACTTTGCATTCAATCTTCTAGAATGTAAATTAAAACTTTTTCCATTTACGATTAATTGTTTAAAATATGGAGAAAGTGTGGCAAATAGTCTTAAAGTAAAACCGACTTTAACACTATATAACAATATGCGTATTTTAGCTACACTTAAACACAAATGTTGTCATTATATTCATGAAAATATTTAATTTTTTCATATAAAACAACGCATTTGTACCGACATTTTCGCTTTGTATGAGTTCTCTTGCTTAAAAATGTACATGTATACATACATATGCAAGCGCACACACTGAAGAGCAGTCATAAATCACTTTGATGCAATTTGGTAAACAGTGGAAAATTAAAAGAGAAATAAATGCATAAAAACATATGCACATAAAACACTTAATAACACACACACGCACACACATAAATGTCTAAAAGAAAAGCAGACTGCAAAGCGCGGAGGCAGTGACGGAGGTAGTGCTGGCTTAACATCCATCAAGGCTGTTGTGTAACCAAAAAAAAATAAATGCAAGTAAAAACGAATGTGCGTACAACCTTAATTGACCTTCTTTTTTCTAACCACACTGTGAATGATGTGTACTTGCCGATGTAGGTGGTTCTACATAATAAAGTTAGGCAACGAGATAGAGGCATCACTCCCTGCATTTGTATATGTGAATATGGCAGTGGGTGCTAGCAACATGTGTGTGTGTTTAAAATTGAAATGTGAGGGGATTTCAAGCTGAAGGCAGCCGGCTTTCGACGGAATAATTTCAAAAGTAACTACATTTGAATGCAAAAAATAAAAACTCGGAAAGCAAACTCAATAAATCTGTAATGGGAGTGCAACATATAGAAGCTTGTAGAAAAAGTGAAAGCAAAAACGGAATGTTGTTACACTTTTATTACGTTTTCCAAAGGCGAAATGCAGAATGAGAAAAGTTGAAAAAAAAGAAAGAACTGACATCTGAAATTTTTTTTTTCGCGTTCAGATGCTGTAAGTTTTTGTTTTTAAATGGCTTTAGTTTATTTTGTAATTTGCATGGATTTTCTTATATAAATGGCATCGCATTATAAAGCGAACTTTTCTAAGTAGTGACAGTGACAGTGAAAGTGACAGTTGTGGATAGTTTCTGCTCTAGCAGAAAAATTTAGGGCCGTCAGTTGGCAATGGGAAAAATTATAAACAAATGGTTACGTGTAAGCCATAGACAACAATATAATTACATTAAGTGTGTTGCTTTTCAACAACATATAGATATACATATATATATGAATCCTATTGATATTCTGCAAAATATTGTTACAAGTGAAACTTCTTTGTACTAATGATATTCTTCTTTACTGGCATAGACACCACTTTATTGGCCACTTGAAGCCACCCCTCTCATGTTGTGTTCGATCGCAACATTGAGAGGTTGGCAGTTTGTTTTCTCTGCACTGCGATACGACAGTCCTCATCGTACCAGCTATTCTTTCGACCTTTATGGAAGCTAATAGTTTCGTTGGCAGCTGTACGTAAGGAGCTTGAAATGCTGTCCCACAATTCCCTTATAAAATGTGAACCCGTTATGTAATAACCCATTACTAATTTACATAAATTAAAAATAGCATGGATTTACTGTAAAGTCTTAGAAAAGTCAATTATTTTCCAAACTAATGATCTGTATTCCTGTATTCTTTTGCCTTCTTATATCAAGAGAACTTATTTCAGTCTCTGCGATCGACTTTGTACCATATTTTATACGCCTTTCACTTACTACAAGTATAGTGCTGCTCAGTATCAAAATGGGCAAAATTTGTTAATACCTTCCAACAGATCCTATAAATTGATTATATGATGAGATAATTTATATTTTTATTGTTTCCTTTATATTCTATTTTTAAAATTAAGTGAGAATTTTAAATTTAGTGAAAAGTTGTTTGTTAAAAAAAATAAATACTTCGATTCACGTGCTGCGCCAGCTCTTATAAACGATAGATTGACTTTTGAGCGGATATCTCAGGAATAAAGTGGGGTATATTACGCCTGCTGTAAGTTGGACTTTTATTAAAAATGAACGCAATAAATAAATAGTTTTGACAATACATTTTTGGAAGCAGTTCAATTTCATACTTCTTATATGCTTGTCGCTTAGGAAAATAATTGTTAGTTTACACTTAACTACTATTAAATAAAATAACAGTACTTCTTGCCTAACCAATTTTTATTTATTTCACAAAACTCCGGAAATATTCAAACAATCAAATGCAACTCAACTATGCTGTTGACAACTATATATTCATCCGACCATGCAACATCAATTACGCGTCAAAATTGTACACACCAGCTAACCCAACCCTGTATGCACACTACGTTTTCAACACACTTGATCAGGACCACAGTGGCATTATTAGCTTTGAGGTAAGTGATGAAAGAAAATATGTTATTAATGTTGCTACACTTATATGTACACGCATGTATATATATATTTATAAAGAAATATATATACATATATAAGACATATGTATTGTATATACTTAAAATATGCTTTTGTAGTACTTGAAAGAATTTTTATATTTACATTCGACTGCTTAATTTTATACAACAAAATGAGTTGCATATTTATTATGCCCACATACCAAGGTCCTCTCCAACCTCAACTAAATAATCAATATTCATTTTAAAGTTAATTAAGTTCACGCGCTTCAAATAAAGCAAAGAATAAAATATTTTCTGACCCCAAAACAATTTATTTTAATTAAATGCGGAAGGAACCCTTTGTGGAAGATATAGCAATCGCAGATGCTAATGAAACCATGCATTTTAATGGGCAACGGTTTGCGCGTTTCTCTCTTGTTTTTGTCTTTATTTGACAATTACTAAATTCTCTTTTTGTGCCTTTTTGCCTTATGTAAGTTAATGAAAATTGGTTTAAACTGCCCGACAAACAAATCAAAAAAAAAAACTGGCTTTGGGACAAACTCCGTGGCTTGTAGGCAGGTTTAAGTTGCATCAATACCGAAGACCAGTAAGAGTACGGATTACGCGGCTTAGGGTTTCAGGTTCTTGAGTTTCTCCTCCTTTTTAGATCGGAGCTACTAAGTTAGCTAGAAACTTTGTAACAGAAGGAAACATCGGAGACCCTTTGAAATATATATCGTTTAATCAGCATGATGAGTTGAGTCGATTTTCCTTTTCTCCCAAAGAAGCTCGGACTCAATATCGATGTCGGACCACTTTAGTACATAACTGCCATACAAATTATACGATCGGAATCAAGTGCTAGTATGAAAAACTTTTTCATCTCAAGTATTTATGTATAAGTTTTGAACCTGATGCGCCTCATTTTCAGTCTTCTTTACGACAGAACGCCAAGCTCCAAGCTATGATAGTTGACGGCCCTTCAAGAGGCAGCAGATCTACTTTTGAACAAATGCTCCTTCAGAAAAATGAATATGCATACGCTCCGATAGCTGGGCTGCCATACTAGCCTTGAGTTCGCTAACCTTGCGCTCGAGTTAAAAAATACGCCAGCCCATCAATCTCATCGATACTTTATGATAAGGCTGGTATGGGTCTATTGGCTAGGCCTAACATGAGCTTGACAAGCGTTGGTCAACTAGCACCTCGTACCGTAAGATCTTTGGTGGGAAATTCACCCTTATCTCTCTTCCACAGGCCTCCAGTTGAATCAGAAGGAGTATAGGTAAAATGTTTAAGCAATTTGTTATGAATTCAAGGCGATTAACATAATTTTATATTACTCTATTAAGCAGTCATACTTGTATATATGTGGCTGCTTGATATAGCCTAACCTAATCGGATATGGAGTAGCTGCTTTTTTTTTCTATCACGAACTAGAAGACCCCGGCCACGCCTTGCTGTGGCTAAGGTATAATTAAATTATATTGAGTAAGCAGTTTAATTTAGTAAAATGTTTTATCAAAACTAATTTCAGCATTTCTTTCTGTCCATATAGCTCGATTACCGAGCCAGTTATAATTTAAATAATTATTTTGTGCGACTGGGAAAATACGGGCAATTAATTAATTTTGTCCGTATACAATAGTGCTGAAATTGGCTGGAAGTTTAGGGCATTTCGTGTTTGGTTGCAGTTAGTATATGAAATCTAACTTCTATTCTGAAATCTAACTCATAGTATATATATTTTATTATTATTTATACTTACATTAATATGAAATCATTACTGGTATTATTAATATTACCGTCAAAGTCGCACTCTTTCAATATAGTCTATGGCTGTGAATGCTATGCGTTGTTACGTGGTTTTTTAAAATATGCAAAATTAAATGTATTTTTTCAATCTTTCTGAGACATTTTCTTAATATTTTTTCCCGTAAGAACCTTATACAGAGTATTAGAAAACTACAAAAAAAACTGCCATTTGGCTTAGCCGTTGTCAAGTTATGGCGTGACAACGAGAAACGGGTTTCATTTCTATATATATAGAAGTTCAAAATTTTTTTTTTTATAAAATTCAGTAAGTTATTAAATTCTTGTTATCGGCATTTAAGGTCTATTGCCATAATACATATGTATATAGTACAGATGTAAGCTTGGGTGTATTTATACATATAAAATTTCCTTATGTACACATCTTACCGCCGCGCATACCACAATATTCACTTACAATGCGCGCCACTAATATCGCAGAAACATAATGTGGCATTAACATTTTAAGCTCGCTTCTTGTTATTTTGTGTCACTTGATTAGGTGTTTAGTGTTGTTATGTGTGGGTTAACATCGCGCTGTATTAAAGGTCAACTGTCATGGAACAAACAAACACATCAGCATTGACTTCAGAAGCATATTATCATGTAGCTCTCACTAAGAGGACCCTTGTGTCTGGGGCCATCAATGCTAATGCGCCACACATCCCTGCTGTGAGAATTTCACTATTGCAGATGCTGTGCAGACATACTATATGTATACATATAATATATATGAATATAGTACTAATGTATGAGTATTGCATGCAAGGGAACATTAGCGCTCCCTTTCAACAAAATACCACACCATCTTCGAGTTTGGCGAATGACTGGTCGCCGCTCACAGCTTAATGAGCTTTATAATATACTTTATGTTGATAAGCATTATTTGTTTACTTTTTGCGCCGCTTCTGTTCTTTACTACTCGGTCTGGCCTTCAATGCGGTCTTCTCGTTTTTTGCTAACATTTTTTATCGCTTAGCATATACATTTTTTTTCTTTTGTTTATTTGTACTTTGACTCTGTAAAGCTTACTTAATGGTATGACCATATAAAAATTGCGCCTCAACACAAATTGTTTGTGACCACTGGAATGTACGTACGCATCGCTTTTGCCGTTGCTTAGAGTTATTACATTTTTTGAGCGCTCCGTTTTTGTGCTGCAAGCTGTCGTTTATGCTTTTTTATAGAATTAGGGGTTCACAAATGTGGTTTTTGTTTTCATTTAGCTTAGACTTCGTCTCCTTTGGCTCGCCCTTTGTAAATATCGACCTTCCAGTAACTGCCAAAAATTCAGTTAATTTCTTGATTGCTTCGCCGTGCTGTGTTGGTCAGCTTAATATCATCCTGTTGTGATTATTTGCTCGTATCTTATCGCTCTGCTTATCTTTGTTCAACATCGTGTTTATGACATCATTTTAGCGTTAACCTGCCTTAAATATTTAATTACTTATTTTTCATGGTTTCTTCGTTTAAATTAATTTCGAAGTTGGGCCGAAATGTTTTTCGAAAAAAATCTGATCTTGACTAGATAGGTCGTGGGCTAAAAGAAAACCCGCTCCGAAACCTATCTCAACTGGAAATACTGTTTTCCTCGTAATAGTCATTTTTTGGTAGACTATATACCGATCTCTTTTGAATATATATAAACTACTCTTAAAATGCATAAAGGGTATTTCAATTATTGGAGAAATCAAAATGGTCTTTGAAGTTTCTACAAGTATATGTTTATATAAAATTAGTGATTTTGTTTGAAAAAAAATGTTGTTTTGAATGATTACGTTATAAAACATAAAGCAAATTGTAAGGTATTCACTACCTTCGAAAAATATATTGTATATAGGAACAGTTGTTATATCCGCTTGGATCTTTTCCTTTCTGTAAACATAAACACTGATACCTGGGTTAGCCTCAGTATACAGAAAATAACAGTCATTACCCATTAAAACAATAGCAATCCAAAATGCATTCTATTATCGGAATATCCAATACTTTTCACATATAAACTTACATTTTTGAGAGCATCTAATATTCAGTTTTCCTAAAAAATGTTTAATTTTTTGCAACCCATGGAATATAATAGTAGTCTTCAAAAGAAGATGCTGCAAGCTGTAACTTGAGTAAAAAATGAGATATCTTGAAACTTTGTGAACGTATTTCTTGTCAAAAAATAGAGGATGAGTTCGTAGATGGGCGTAATTGGATCACTGCCACCCCAACAAAACGCCATTATATAAAACTGTGATTCAGTGGATTGCAGTAGCAAGGGGCACTTGTAGGCTAAAAATTAAAAAAAAGGGCGTGGCCCCGTTCCTTATAGGTTTAATGTATATATCCTCTAAACCAATCAAGCTATATCACCCAGATTTGCACAGGACAAATCCTTTCAACACCTTTTAGGACAATGTGAAAATAGGTGAAATCGGTTGATAACACTGCCCTCTGTCATATAACAGTTTTGCCAGGAACATAAAATGTTACACCCAGGATGATACAAGAGAGCTTTACCGGGGTCAACATTGGATGATGAACGTGGCAACGCCTACACGTCACATACCTCCGGATCTCCTCGACCAATTTCAATCAAATTCGGTTCATGCATATAGCAGAATTTTAAATTCCATACGATTCATTAATATTCCAGTAAAAAAATCAATCACCAATTAATATATTCAGATAAAACTTTGCAATATTTTTGATATTTTAGGAATATCATCGCGAGTCTAAAAATTGTCAAAATAGGACCACAACTGTTCAAGTCCACATATACCGAATATGTCGTCCCCAGTACGTATGGCAGACTTTTTGCCGAAAATATCGGTCAATATATGAGATATATAATTGAAATTCAAGGAAAGTATTTGATTGATAATAATATATTCTTGTGTCACAAATAGGTTTAATCGAGTGAATACTTCCCTTAGCTTACGTATACCTAATATAAAGATTTTTAAAATTCCAGTTGACTTTATATATTTTGATATCGGCCAATGTGGAAGTTATTTTAATGAAATTGAAAGAACGTATTTTGCTAAAAGCAGTGTATACCTACATATATAACTGGTATTCAGGGTTTTGAAACATCCAGCTGCCTTTACTCCATACATATTTTAATATTTGAATATTTATTAAATTCACTCAATATAAAAAATATTTGAAATCTTTTTAGGTTTTTACTACTTCCGGTTTTA